GTATCTTCAGTGTACACATTAGGAATTCTACAAATGTCAGCTTCTTCATTTTTCTTTCTTTCCCTAGTTGTCACTAAAGCCTGGCTTGAATATGTGGTGTAATGAAGTGCTTTGAAGTCTCTGTAACTCAAGGATATGTGTTTATGCTCACTTGATTTTATTGGAAAAACACAGGCACACATAGCATGAGTAAGGTAAAATGCATTATGTGCATTAAGTGCTCGGACGGGCAGCAGAGGAAAAGATATGAAGACAGAAATAGATATGATAGAGTATAAAAGAGGAAGGATATTTTTTTTTTTGAGACAGGGTCTCTTTTATAGTTCAGGTTGACCTCAAACTCATTATGTAGCACAGGCTGCCCTTGAACTCCCAATCTCCTGCCTCAGCCTCCTGAGTGCTAAGATTACAGGTTTGCAACATCATGCTCTGCAAGAGCAGATGTGTTGACATGGGAGGATGGATAGGATTTGGATCTTAAGTTTATTCATTCAGATCACAAACCTGCATCTGTCCCATGACAGACATGGTGCTGGGGAATGGGGAGGGTTGAGGAATCAGAACAAATAAGTAGTGGGCTAGGGAAGGGTTGGGAATAGAACCTAGTGCTTTCTGAGAGTAATATGAAACAGAATTCTCATAGAATCAGAGCTATCACACTGTTGAAAGATCAGGCAGTGGGAAGAACTGATTTTCCTTCTTCAAAAGAGTATTTTTAGGCAAGATGAATGAGGGATAGATGCCAGTTGCTAACAATCAACATGTATCTCATATAGATTCACCCCTAGCAATGCTCTGGTCTTTCTGGGGAAAAAGAAAGTCATCATTTAGTGTCAGAGAGATACAGCTTTTCCTGGAGATAGTCCAGTTTTCAGTTAAAGTTTTCACTGAAAACTTTGAATTTTGCACAATATATGTGTTACCTCATCAAAAAGAAATAATTTACTTTGAAGAACTCAATGAAACAAGCTGGTGCGCACTTGTAATCCCAGTACTTGGGAGGCTGAGGCAGGAGGATCACTGAGAGTTCGAGAATAGCCTAGGTTACAAAGTGAGATCAAGGCCAGCCTGAACTACATAGTGAGACCTTGTCTCAAAAAGACAAAACAAAACACTCAATGAAGTCTGTTGCTTTGTTTCCCCTTTTGTCTCATATTTGTGTAAAACACTTTTTTCTGACTCAAGATATCCCCATTTGCAAATTATTATATAGGAGAAAGTTAAAGGCTTTGGAAGTTGTGATGCCAGTTGGTTACTGCTTTGTGGCTAGGACAGTACCTTCCTGAACCTCAAGCCAATACTAATACTACTCCACAATCCCAATTTCCTGCCAACTTTGACTGGCAGATTCTGGCTGGATAAAACCCAAAGAAACACAAATCTATTAGGAGCCAGTGATTTCATTCACTTTAGAGCAAGACAGAGTCATTAACAAACTTTGATGGAAAGGTCTGCATTAGCCAAAACTGTCTTTTTCCAAGACAACAGAAAATGGAAAGGCAGGAATCCTAAGTAATTCACCAGTAAGTGCTGTCAGTGGGAGGAGTCTCCTGCTAAATGAACCTGGCTGCCTGCTTCCCTGACCTTGAGCACCTGTTGCCAGGTAAAGGAGATGAAAATACCTGTGTCCAGAGAACAGTGTAACAGTGGAAGGGCTAACCATTTTGGGGAGCTTTCCCACATAGAGGATCACACAAAAAGACAGTAATGTATTTCAGAGAGATTTCACAGTAAGTTTCATGTTTTCAAAAGGGAACTTGGCTTAAACTTCACAAGCTAGTTTTTCTATTTGGGCTTTGATTTTCTTTTTGGGGGCTGGGAGCTGGAAAAAGAGTCTCACTATATAGTTCAGGTTGGTTTTGAACTTCTGTAGCCCAGGCTCACCTCAAACTTGAGATGATCCTCCTGTCTCAGCCTCTGGAGTGCTGGAGTTACAGGCATGCACACCACACCTGCCCTTTGATTTCAATTTAAACTCCAGTTAATGTGGAAAATTGGAAATTCGTATGTGTCAGACTTAATAAAGAAAATTATAATCTTGTTCCTGTTCAATTATTGCTTCACTAGATATTGAGGCCCTAATGTATACTTGGCATTATGGGGAATACTAGAGAGAGATTTTTACTTTTAGGTATCTATAACTACCAAATTTTGTGCACATAAGTCTTACTTTAATGACTGTTAAACTGCTAACATCTGAAGCTGTGCTTTTAGTCTACAGATCTTCCAATGATGCTTTTCAAACAATTTAATAATGCTAACATTCATTGTATGTTAACTATGTCAGACACTATAGTAAGTGCTTTATATGAATTACTTAATTCTCGTCAACCCTGTAAGTTCCTTCAAGAGGTTGAAAACAGAGCCTCATAAAAGGTAAATTGTGCTAGTTTATAAGTGATGGAGCAAGGATTCAAATCCAAGTTGTTGTTCATTCAAACGGTTATGTATGCCAGCCTTGAAGGGGAAGAAGACAAACACTGCCAAACTCAGCCTCTAAGAATTGGAAAGTTTGGTTTGGTTTTGAGATAGGGTTCTCACTGTGTTGCCCAGGCTGAGCTCAATCTTGTAGGCTTAAAGGATGCTCTTGTCTTGTCCTCCCAAGTAGCTAGGACTACAGGTACAGGACACCGAAATCTTTTTCCCCTAACATATTAGGCAAGGGCTCTACCCATGGGCTGTATATCCCCAGGCACTGGTAGTGTGATTCCAAAGTTCATGGTTTTAACATTAACACTAAACTACTTCTCATGATCAGTGCAGAGGGGAGCTATGTTTTCTCTTAAGAGAAAGCTGGCAGAGTGGCGCATACCAGTAGCTAACCTAATCTCAGGTACTCTGGAGGTTGAGGCAAGAGAATGGCAAGTTTGAGCTCAGTCAAGGCAACAAAGCGACTTAACAAGACCCTGTCTGTAAATAAAAAATGGAAGGCAAAAAGGTCTAGGGATGTAGGTCAGTGGAAGGGTCTTGGGTTCAATCCGCTGGACCAAAAAGCAAGGGGGGTGAGGAAGGATAGAGCAACCGAGTGAAGAGCAGCAAACTGGTATCCTGAAGAAATCCGGCCAAGTGTCTTCGTTCCTCATTCTTCTTTTCCTTATGCTAAAATCAGGTTTTTGCTGCACACGATAAATTCTCTGACCCGAATAAATATAAACATCCTGGAAGCACAACAGACGTAGTAAGTTCCAGTCCTACCTATACCATTTACCAACTATCTGACCTTGGGCAAATAATCCATCCAAGTCTTACTTTCCCATCTGAAAAATCAATGTTGGTATTACATGTTTACAGGGAGACCTAGGTGAGATGATGAGCCTACTACATAATACACGTTCAATAAAGAGCCACTGGTATTTTCAAAAGAATTAGGATGCACAAGAAAACCTCCAAGTCATATTTTATGAAGTCTTGTCTCAGTGCTTCCATTAGCTATTTGTACAACTGTGTATGAATCCTCTCTTAAAGGTGCACCCAGGCTGACTCATCCTTACGGTTGTGGATATCATATGTGTTCCCCAAACGTTGGTTGAATCAGAGAACGAAGTGAAAGCTAAGTCCGTCTCAGTGAATGAGGCTTCTGGTAATCCGCAATGTAGATACACTCCCTTACTTCTTCCTTCGCTCCTTCAAGTTTCAGTGAATTTAAAACTGTAAATGAACATAAGGTTACTGCAGGCCTCGCTGCGTAGTTCTGACCTTAGTTAAAACGAAGAATAGCAAGGCTTCTGAAAAGGAACATCCATTACAAACGTTGAGTGTGAGGCTTGCTATCAAGATCCGCGCTCCCCCACCCCCACGCCAGAGCCAAAGGGACCCAGCACCAGACCCGCCCTCTCTTCCTGGTTTTCCCCGGCAACCCGCCCCTAAGGTGTCATGTGACAGGGGTGCCCTGCCAGGGCAAGCCCTTGATTGGCTGAGCTGCAGAACGCCTTGCGATTGGCCAGAGGTCGTCGGGCCTCCGCCTCCCTCCTCCTCCTTGCCGCGGCCCACGTGAGGGGGGAGAGTCACGCGATTTCCGGGAACCCGTCAGGAAGGACATAAACAAAACAAACCCGAGGCAGCATGGAGAGGGGCCGCGGCCCCTACAACGGAACCGGACCCAGCCCCTGAGCCGCCCCCACACCTACAGGTAAGCGCCGCTGCTTACAGCCCGAAGCTCGCAGAGGCCTAAACTGGAGAACCAGCTGAGTGGAGGGCGGAGGAGGGCCGCTGGCCTAGGAGGCAGCAGTGCTGGGGTTCTGGGCTGGGCCGGCGCGGGGCGGGGGCCGGGACCGAAACAGAGGGTGAGGGCGCGCGGTGCGCACATAGCCGCCGACTGTTCCCAGAGCAACGCTCCCCTCCCCCACTCCCGGCCCGGGACGGTTACATAAAAGCGCGGGGCGGCGGCGGATAAGACCCGCGAGAAGACAGCAGGCTAGGCCAGGCATAGGCACTGCCGGGCGTCCTCTCTGCCAGGGCTCCGGGCCTTTCTCCGCTGTTCTGGAGCTCCGGGCCGCTGTTGCCGGCAACCGGCCTGTCAGAGACGCGGGCGGGTGGGAGGGGCCCGGGAGGGAGGGGAGTAGGGGCTGGCGGCGGAGGAGGAGAGAGAGGGGGCGTGTGAGGAAGGGCCGGGACTGCGGAGGTCAGAGCTGGTTTGGCAGGGGACGAGGAAGCGCGGGCTAGGGCTTAACGGGGTCCGGGCAGGGGTGTGTCTGAGGTAGCCTTTTCCCCTTCCGTCCCCGCCCCAGAGGCGCCCGGCGAGAGGGGCCTCCCTTTCGGGATTTGTTTATATGTCTTCTCAAAGCAGCTTGAAGCGGTTCGGGGGCGGGTCCTTCGGGACTGAGTGGCAGGCTGTTGTATCCAATCGGGAAAGCCTTCAGCGGGCGTCGCACCAATGGGAGCCAGGAGGGCGGTGCCGCGAAGAGCACGCAATAGTTAGGCTGTGCCGGGGGTGGGCCAGGCGGGGCGGCCATGTTAGATGGGAGGGGATCTGTGGTGGTGGGTCACACAGGGGAGGAGACAGGGCAAAGGGCGAGCGAGCGGGGCCGGGGGCGTTTCGGGTGTCAGAAGGCGAGTCCGGTCGGACCAGGAAGAGTAACTCTGGGGAGCCTGACCCCGACCAACCTACCGCTCTCCTCCCACGAACAGAGGAGGCAGGGAAGTACTGAGGGCAGCCAAGCCTCCCCCTGGGGGTGGTTCCTGGGACTAGATGGAGCCCAGTTTTTGGATTCTCCCTCTTGCTTGGCCCTGCGCTTCCTGACAAACCTGGCCGTCAAACCCTGTAATCACCCTCTTTTAACCGAGAAAGCAAACTCTTCTACTGTTTCTGAGCAGGCTTGAGCCTTAAGACTACCTTACAGGAGGTACTTGGATGATAGCGGTCTAAGTTTCTCTACCAGGCCTTTTAGCAGGCAGTGAAGGGGAAGTTCTGCTTTTCTAGGTTTTATGTAGAGAAAACTGGGAGTAGAAAAGCCGAGAAAGTTGAGGGCTGGGCGGGGTTTCCAGTTTTTCATCCAGATGCCTTCTAAACACCTAGCCCCACGCTTGTCCTGGTCTTAATAATTTGCCCATCTTGTTGACGTTTATTGGTACATATAAATCAATTTCACGTGAAAACTACTACATGAAAAATTATTTAGGCTTGCAGGTTCTATAGGACATTTTCTCTTGCAAATGCCAGCAGGTGAGAAAGAGGATCAAGGTCTAACTTAATTCTTTTTTAAAAACAAAATAAGATTTCCGTGTAAACCTTGCAATCTGTGGTAAACTAATTGTCACTTGATTGTATTTTTAAGTATTTTTGTTTTGTTTTGTTTTCTTATATCTTTAGAGAGATATACCATAGGGGAAAATGGTATGAATACTTTAAAAAATCATTTAATTATATCGTTATTATTTTCATCATGTTGGCCTTGTTAAATTATGAATGTAAGCTTATGTTAACATCCACTTACAACCTGTAGCTACAGTGGTGGTGTCAAAGGTACCGGGCTATATTGATGCATCTTTGTTAAGCACTCAGAAGTAGGAACACTTCAGTGTATCATGCAGGTTCTGCTCAAGACTATTTAAGAATTGACAGTGTCATCTTTGTCAACTGGAGAAAAATAATAGTGGATAAATAAGTGAATTATCAGGTTTTATTGGTATTAGTTTTGTATGACTAATTCAGAGTTCTTTTAAGAATGATATGGTATGTAAACATATAGTTCCGAATTATATGATAGATTTTTTTTTAGTTTGTCAGTATAAATTTTTATAGTAAATGGAAATACTAGCTTGTATTTTATTGTCAATATTGTATTGTTTTATAAACCCTACCCCTCAACAGTGCCTTGATCTGTTATAAAAGAGTATATCTAAAGTTAAAAGTGATTTTAAAGTTAAAAGAAGCAAAAACAATTATTGGTATCTAGAATAATCTTTAGTTATGTTAGTTGATTAATGTCACTTAGTGTTTTCCTAAGAATAGTCAGTATATCTGACAGAACTTAACTTGGTTGTAGTTCTTTTGTATGATTGATACAGCAGCTTTGAGATTTTTATTTATTTTTGAGACAGGATTTCGCTATGTTGCCCAGACTGGTGTCAGACTCTTGGCTCAAGCGATCCTCCTTGCGCTGGAAGTACATGCACGTGCAACCGTGCCCAGCTCTAGGATTTTTGGACTCATGAGCATAGAGGAGAGCCAGATGTAGCCAGACTAGATGTTGAATATTCCACTTCATCTCATTCTGTTACAAGTTTACATTTACATTTACTGGTAATTTATTGCTTGGACATGTGAAGATTCTAGGTGCCAGTGCATGGAATAAAGGAATAAACTGGTATGGATTTTGGTGGTGGTTAACCAAATACAAGTGACTTTGGAAGTGCAAGGAGTTTGTATGTTACTCTATAACTTTAGCAGAGTTTTTTTTAAAGCTTATGAAAAATTTATTTTTGCTGTGTGTGTAGTTATTTTTGTTGTTTTGTTTTCATAGTGCTAGGGATTGAACCACATGCTAGGTGAGTGGTAGGCACACGTTAGGCAAGTGCTGTACCACTGAGCTACACCTGCAGCCCTTTTAAAATTTTGAGACAGGGTCTCATTAAGTTGCTCAGGATGCTTTCAGACTTGCAGTCCTCCTCTGCCTCCTGAGTAGCCCCTTACTGGCATGTCTCACCATGCTTGACTATTTGGTTTTAAAGTTTTGTGTGTGTGTGTGTGTGTGTGTGTGTGTGTGTATACATATCAGCGATCAAACTTGAGATCTCCTGTTTACCAGGGAGGCACTTACGTCGCTAAGCTAAATCCGTGGCCCTAAAATACAATTTTTAAGCCAGGTGTGGTGGCGTGCATTTGTAATCTCAGCACTAAAAGAGGCTGACGCACAGGCATCATTGCGCAGTTGAGGCCAGGCCGAGCTATAAAGGGAGTTCAAAACCAACCTGAACTGCATAGTGAAACCCTGTCTCAAAAAAGACAACCCCCCCCCAAAAAAAAACCTTTGTGTTTAATTTTTAGCTAGGCATGGTGGTGCACATCTGTAGTCCCAGCACTCAGGAGGCTGAGGCAGGGGGATTGCTGTCTCAGCCTGAGCTACATAAGTGAATTCAAGGACAGTCTGTACTACATAGCAAGAACCTGTCAAAAACAAAAAAAGCAAGAAAAGTTTAATTTTTAGTCAGGATTGGCAGTTGTATGATTTTGACATGAATCAGCAGAGTTGTTTCCGTTTGGTTTGTAGTCAGATGTTTTGGGAAAGAATTCATTGACTCTTTGACCATGTTCCATATCTCATTCTAAAGTACATAAACTTGTAGACCAGTCATAAATTTGTCACATCATTAGTTCTGTCATAAACTGACAGACTTCTGTACAAAATCACATAGTAAACGTTTACGCTTTGTGGGCTATATTGTCTCTGTCGCTACTCAGCCCTGCAATTTATGGCATGATAACTGATAAGACAATCAAAAAGCCGGGTGTGGTAGCACACTCTTATAATTCCAGCACCTAGGAGGCTGAGGCATGAGGATCACTGCAAGTTTGAGGCCAGCCTGGGTTCCATAGTGAGACCAATCTTGAAAAACAAATGGAGACAGTCATAGAAATTATGTTCAAGATATATATTGCAAATAAAACCTTATTTACATGAATAGGTTGTGCCTCTGTTTGGCAGTAGCCACTGTTTGTCAACCCCTGTTGGCTCACTCATTTACTTTTAAGCATTATGATGTAAGGTATTGTAGAATATGTAAATATACACTTCAGGTGATAGTTAAGCACTAGCCAACCATATGTAAAATCTGTTGCCATAAGAAATTTTTAGTACAAGGGCATATGACATTATTGTAGTACATATGGGTATATGTAAACCTCATTTTCTTTCTTTCTTTTTTGTCTTTTTCCTTTTTTTTGGTACCGGGGATCAAACTCACGACTGCCTTGCTGGCAAGGCAGGCGCTTATGCCGCTGAGCTCAATCCCTAGCCCCTAAACCTCATTTTCTTACAGGTGTTTTCCTGAACAACACTTTAAATATTAGTGTAAATCTTATTTGATTGTTTGAGATGATCTCCCTATGGAGTTTAGGCTGTCCTTGCACTTACTACAGGCTGGCCTCAAATTTGAGGCAGTCATCCTGCGTCACCTTCCTGAGTGTTGGGATTATAGGCTTATAACACCACACTTGACAAATCTCTTTTATTTTAGAGGTGCATTTTGAATGAAAAGAGTGTTAATTCTTCAGATATGGTACCTAAGAACCTTTATATTCAGGCTGTGGTCCTATTGAGATTTTTTGGGGGGGGGTACTATTGAGATTTAAAGGTTAGCTTTGGACTTGCTATGTAGTCAGGCTAGCCTTGAACTTCCAGCGATCCCCCTGCCTCTAGCCTTCCACCGTGCCCGACTAGCATGTCATTTCTAATAAAACTATATTGCTATTTCAAGAAATGCTGTTCCAGGGGCTGGAGATTTAGCTCAGCGGCATAAGTGCCTGCCTTGCAAGCAAGCAGTCGTGAGTTCGATCCCGAGTACCAATAAAAAGGAAAAAGACAAAAAAAAAAAAAAAAAAAAAAAAAAAGCTGTTCCAAGTGAACAGTTAACACCCACAATCTTATATTTAGATGTATATGGATATGGAAGTCATATTGATCATGTCATTACCTGAGATATTTGTAGAATTATCCAAACATTAAGGCAAATGTTTTTTCAAAGATTCAAAAGATACAGGTTGCATTTCCTTTTTTTTGGAAAATATCAAGTGATGCTTAGTATCCTAGAAAGCAAAGATGTCACAATTTTACTTTATTCATTGATAGGTTTTGGGTTGTTTTATATGCTATTTCTTTATTTTTGTTTACTTAAGCTGGATTTATGAAAACATAAAAGTTTCAGTAGAATATATTGGCTTTTGTTGTTGTTGTTGTTGTTTTTAAAGAAAAGGCCTCAGTATGGAGTTCATGTTGGCCTTGAACTTACTGTGTAGCCCAGGCTGACCTCAATCAAACTCAAGGCAATCCTCCTTCATTACAGGTGTGTGTCATTACATCCAGCTGTTACTGCCCTGAACTGAAATGATTCTGCCTAGCTTAATTTACTATCTGGTTAGATGTCAATGGGTAATCTCAGTTTATTAATTTATAATGGTAAGAATTAATCATTTCCATTTCACAGAGGAATATTGGGAAATTTTTATTACTGTGTTCTTAAGTTCACATACTTTGAATATGTTAAGTGGCACCTCTTCCACTCTTTTCCTTCCCTCCTGTCTTCTCTTTTCTTCTTGACAGTACTAGGGATTGAACCCAGGGCCTTTTTTCACTGAGCCTTTTTTCCCCAGCCATTTTTATTTTTTTATTTTGAGGCAAGATTTCACTGAACTACTGAGTTACTCAGGCTAGAATTTGTGATCCTCTGTCTCAGCCTCCCAGAGTGCTGGGCTCATAGGCATATACCACCACACCTACATTGGAGCCACCTCTCAAATCTGGATTACAGTTTCTTTCTCTACATTATTACCCTCTTAGTGTCTCTTTATTATCACTTACCTATTACCACAGTGTCTTCCAATTAAACTGTGAGTTCCTTGTTTGGAGTCTGCCTTCTATTTCTGTATGCACACTGCCTCACTGAAGTTCAGAGCTCTTGATAGGAACATGTCATCTGGAAGGTAATAAAATCTATTAACAGAAATGTTGGACTTTCCTTACTTGGAAGAATTAATCACTGTTGTCCAATCAAAAAATCTTCAAGATTGAGCCTTAAGGGAAATTAAGAAACCTATTTTTTGATGTTTAAAAAAAACCTTGTTTTTGTTTTTGTTGTTGTTGTTTTCAGATAAATTCGATTAAAGTTGCGCACACCTTGGATGCAAAAAGAGGTTGTACCTTGTTGGATTTGTCTTTAGCATGCTTGGTTCTGGATGTTTGATAGGTATGAGCAGAACCTCTTCTTGTAGAATGGGGTTTTTCTTTTAAGAGAAGGTAATTTATTGTGAAAATGAGTGGGGAATAGGAATAGAAAAGGAATGAGAATAGGAGTAGCTCCTGGGAGACCAGGGGTCGAGAATGGGTTGCCTTAATTTTTCACCTATATAGCAGTTCCTTTTTTTAAAGGAACACTGTGAAGTCATTTCTGCCTAGCTGAGTGTAGTGGTCCGTTCTTATAATTCCAGCATTCAGGACACCAAGACAGAAGGATCTCCATGAGTTTTAGCTCTCCATGAGGTAAAAAAGATTTAGCTATTACAAACTGCTGCTATAAACATTCTCTGCATATAGCCAGGCTGAGTTTGAACTCTCAGCTCTTTTCTGCCTCAGCCTAGTGCTGAGATTACGGGTGTGTGTTACCATTCCTGTTTCTTTTCTGTTTTGGTCTTTTTCCTTTTTATCGGTACCAGGGATCGAACTCATGACTGCCTGCTTGCAAGGCAGGTGCTTATGCCACTGAGCTAAATCCCCAGCTCCCCATTCCTGTTTCTAAATACTTCTTTAAAATTTGGCTTATTGACATATAATTTACATAAAATGAAAATTCACTTGATCCTAGCAACGCAAAAAAAGGAAGAAAAGATAGTTCATACAATTTTGAATTTTGACAAATACATGTTGAATATATCTGTCATCTAACCACCACTATTGTCTTACCTGGAAAATTTTCTGTCATTCCAGAAAGTTCCATGGTGCCCCTCTTGCAGTCAAGTCTCCCATCCCCACCCCTTTGCTTCTTTTATTAAACAATGCTTTTGAGATACTCATTGTTTCATGTACCCCTTGAATCTTTATTTTTGTGTGGATTTGTCATAGCTGTCTTACTTGTTTACCATTTGATATTTGGGTTGCTTCTACATGTTAAGCTATTGTGAATAATACTGCTATAAATATTCATGCACTGGTCTTTTAAAATACTTCTCCTGACATTAACTACCTTTTATTTGAAGGTCACATTAAAGAGCTGTTCAGAGTAAAAGGCCCAGAGTAGCTACCTGCACCAACAGTGGTCTAGCTCTGTGGTTCTGAATGTCTCTTAGCTTAGATTCCCTACCTGTAAAATGGGACTGGCTGGAGACTGGAACAAGCTAGGAAGCCCTGGCAGTTTAAAGGAGATAATTCTCATGTTAGTTCCAGTGAACATTTTAGTGTACCAGCAGTATGTTCTCACTGTTGTCAGATCTGACCTGTCTTCAACAGAGGGATATTTAATATCAGAAATTTTAAGTGAAATTTCCAAGTGCTTGCAATTAAAATTTAAAGTCTAAAATTTTTTATTAGCACATGGGTGCAGTTTATAATGATTACATGTATTTTGAGGGAGTTTATACATGCACATAGTATATTTTAATTATTTTTTGTCCCCTTCACCTCCATCCCTCTAACTGTTGTCATTTTTTCTTTTTTATCCTTTTCCCTTCCCTTTCTTTCCCTCCCTTATTTCTTGTTCCCCTCCCCATTTGAGAATGACCTTCCTACTCCTATTACCTTTTATGTTGCTCTTTGTTGGCTTTGTCATATACCAGAAAGCATGTGATTTTTTTTTTTTGAGACAGGGTCTTGCTATGTAGTTTAGGCTGGCCTTGAACTAACTGTATAGTCCAAACCAGCCTCAAACCTGTGGCAGTCCTCTGGCCTCAGCTTCCCCGGTGTTGGTATTACATGTGTGTACCACCACTCCTGGTTCCCGTGAAATTTTTAAATTTGTGTGTTTGGTTTATTTCACTTAAAATTATGGCGTCAAGGTCCATCCATTTCCCTACAGTTGTCTGTTTCCCTACCGTTTATCTTAATGCAGAGTAGTGTTCCATCATGTATAAATACCATATTTTCCGTATTTATTTATCTGTTGATGGTCATGTAGGCTGTTTCCAAGATTTAGCTATTATAAATTGTACTAAAATTTAAAGTTAAAATCCATTTTATACGAGCTGAACAGAAACAGTGTGTAGGTATGAATGTCTGACTTTAATTCACTTTGAGACCTGTCTGCCTTAAATCTTCAGTTAACTTTCTTTTTTATTTTTGGGGTTTTTTTCTTATTATTGTTGGTTTTTGTTTTTATTTTTGAGACAAGTTCTACAGGTTGGCCTTGAGCTGTGTAGTCCAGGCTGGCAAAAATCCTCTTGCCTCAGCCTTGTAAAGGCTGGGATTACAGGTGTACACCACCATATCCAGCTTGTCTTTTGTTTTTAAATGTACCTGTTTCTGGTAGAGTACATTTGTTAAGGTAACTGTTACTTTTATTTTATAGTTTAACATAACAACTAGTTTGACAGACTCTCCTTAAAAACCACTGAGTTACTGTAAATAAGTTTTATTCCTTCCTCTGATTGGAGGGCTGTTAAGAATTCAAGAGTGAGGGAACCAAGTACTGATTACTATTTGTACTTCTCTGATGACTGATAGTTCTATTGTATGTAGTGTGTTTTCTCAGTAGTTGGAATAGTCTGCTTTCCATATTTGGTTTTTTCTGAACCCTTTTGAGACAAGTGTAGCATAGATCAAATTCTGTATCTCTTTATTTGACAGTATACATAACATAGATTTTGAATAAATCTTTCTCTGAAGTTGCCTAGAATCTATAAAGAAGCCAGTATTAAGTAACTATAAAAAATGATGTGATATGTAATTGAACATGTATTGAATAAATCTTCCTTGTGAGGCTTTTTCCTTTTGTAATTTACTTGCTAATTCTTTATTGTGTATAAAGATTACTAGTACAGGTTTGTAAATTACTTTGTGAATTCAAAGATTATTTTGCTGATTAAACCAGCATAATTGACAGTCACCCTTATAAAGTTGGGGACAGGCGTGTTAAATTACCTAGATTGGCTTAGTATTCTTTTTCACCATAATTCCAGGAAGCTAAGTTTTTTGTGATAATTAAATGAATTTAGACAGTCGTATTCTGAGTTGAATTTGAGTTTATACCTTCATAGCAGCAACATTCCTGGAACTTATATACTAGAAAGGAATTTTAAAACTAAAAATCATTGTTGAGTGTCTGTTTTAGGGATTTTTATTGTTTGTGTTTATTTTGTTTTTTGAGGTGAGTCTTAATGTGATGATCGGGCTGACTTCAAACTCAGGACAGTCCTCCTGCCTCAGCCTCCTGAGTCCTGGGACTAGAGGCATGCACCACTAAGCCCAACCTTGAGTATCTGTTTTCTGCTTCAGCTGGAAACATGCTATAGTGAATCACAGTATCCCTGCAAACTAAGGAGGAAATCTCACATTTACATGTAAAAGAAGGCAGGGTGGGCATCTGGAATGAAATTCCAAATACGCACTTATAAAGTACATTTATCTAGTGTTTACTCCTTGGAGAAGAAGGCTTTTTTTTTTTTTTTTTGTCTTCTTCAATTTTTTCAGTACCGGGGATCGAACTCATGACTGTCTGCTTACAAGGCAGGTGCTTATGCCACTGAGCTAAATCCCCAGCCCCAGAAGAAGCCTTTTTAAGGATTTAGAGCCAAAGAGGCACTCAACATTTTTCAGTGTTGGAAGAGATGATTGCATGATTGTATTCAGAACCTTGTAGTCCTGTGTCCATAACTTCCATATCCACTGTTCAGTGGCATGCTGGTAATACATAGTTTGTTTGACACAGTAAGAGGGAATTTGAAAAGTATGTTTATTTCATTTTTGAAAGTGTCAAATCTGATAGAAGAAACATGTTTTGAAGAAGATTCTAGATCCCTAAAAGCAGGAGTACCTTCTGTGTCCTATGACAGATATTTCACTCAAATCACTCAAGTCTTGCTGTGTGGTCAAGTACATTCTTGCAACAAACACTATCTGTTTTCATGCTGCTGCCTTTAATTACACTGTTCCCTTTCCAGATTTCTACAGAACAATTTAGCCAAGTTCCCCTTTAAAACTCAAATCTTTATCCTGAATAGTTTTTTAAAAATTAAGAGTCTGCTGTGCATGTTGATATATGCCTGTAATCCAGGCATTCAGGAGGCTGAGGCAGAAGGATCACCATGAGTTCAAAGGCCAATCTGAATTATATTGTGAGATCCTGTCTCCAAAAAAACA